TTCTCCACGGTGATGAGGAGAGAGCAGCTTCTATGTAGACCAGGGGCGGACTGACAACTCATGGGGCCCCCGGGCAATAGGGGATCATGGGGCCCCTGTGCCCTTGCCGAAACTAAAAAAAGCCTATGAAAAAGGTACCAGTGGCATCTCATGGGGCCCCCTACTGACCCCGGGCCCTCGGGCAGTGCATGTAGACTGTGTGAATGGTGACAACACCTCGGGAAATCAAAGTGTAATTACAGGGTGAGTGTCAGTAAACATCTTTGTGAGTTTATCATTCCCCATGTTGTTTGTGTCCTAGAAGCCCTGTATACCGGTGTGTGCTTCATCAGGCGCCTCCCTGGGGTCACTCCTCTCTATTATATGGCAGATGGTGAGGTAACGGTCACTTTCCACAAGCTGCCATGTGTACATTCTGATCTGTCATGAGCTGTTCTACTTGTCACCTCTTGTCACGTCTTTCCAGGGCAACCATGTCATTATCGCCGGAAGGCGTCTGCTTCTGAGTGATAGTGCTGAGCTGCGACCTTAGTCACCGTAAACAAATGGTAGTCACAAGGATGGCTGCTAAACTCCACAACAAAAAGGGAAAGAACTGCAATAAACCAGCTTTAGATGTGCCGGCTGCATTCGTTTTCATTTTTTTCTTCTATATTGACACTTGGTAATCCTGCCATTAACCACTTCCAGTCCGGACACTTTCACCCCCTTCCTGTCCAGGGCAATTTTCAGCTTTCAGCACTTAACCAATTCATTACCGGGCACTTTTACCCCCTTCCTGCCCAGGCCATTTTTCATGTTTCAGCGCTCTCACACTTTGAATGACAATTGCGCGGTCATACAACACTGTACCCAAACTAAAATGTTATCATTTTCTTCACACAACTAGAGCTTTCTTTTGGTGGAATTTAATCACCGCTGGGGTTTTTATTTTTTTGCTAAATTACCAAAAAAAAAAAAAAAAATTTTGAAAACAAAACACGTTTTTCTTTGTTTCTGTTATAAAAAGTTTGCAAATAAATAATTGTTTTCATAAATTTAGGCCGAGATGTATTCTGCTACATGTCTTTGGTGAAAATAACCCAAATTAGGATGTATTTTTTAGTTTGTAGGAAAGTTATAGAGTTCACAAACTATGGTATAGATCTGAATATTGATCAATCCTGAAGTACTGACGGCCAATCTAATTTCTTGAGGTCCAAGAATGTCAGAACAGTACAGATATCCCCCAAATGACCACTTTTTGCAGAGTAGACAGTCCGACGTACTTCATAAGAGGCATGGCGAAGTTTTTTGAAGTTGTATTTTTTTTGTCATAATTTTTTGGAAAATGAAAAAATTAAAAAATTATTTTCACTATTTTTTTTTTTACATACTGTCACCAGTGCAGTACAGCATCATCATATAACTGGCATGGCGGTGAACAGGGAAACTGACTGGTGACAGTATGAAAAAAAAATATATATATATTATTTTTTTTATTATTTTTAATTTTTTATTACTTTTTTTATTTTTTTTTAAGATTTCTTTTTCATATTTTCTTCACACGACTAGAGCTTTCTTTTGGTGGTATTTAATCATCGCCGGGGGTTTTTTATTTTTTGATAAATTAACAAAAAAAGATAAAAAGTTTTTCTTTGTTTCTGTTATAAAAGTTTGCAAATAAATAATTGTTCTTCATAAATTTAGGCCAAGATGTATTCTGCTACATGTCTTTGGTGAAAATAACCCAAATTAGGATGTATTATTTAGTTTGTAGGAAAGTTATAGAGTTCACAAACTATGGTATAGATCTGAATATTGATCAATCCTGAAGTACTGACAGCCAGTCTAATTTCTTGAGGTCCAAGAATGTCAGAACAGTACAGATATCCCTCAACATGTCAGGACAGTACAGAATACCCCACTCATGTCAGGACAGATACCCAAATGTCAGAACAGTACAGATATCCCCCAAATGACCCCTTTTTGCAAAGTAGACAGTCCAATGTACTTCATAAGAGGCATGGCGAGTTTTTTGAAGTTGTATTTTTTTTTGTCATAATTTTTCGAAAAATAAAAAAAAAATATTTTCACTATTTTTTTTTTTATTATTATTTTAAATTTTTTATTACATTTTTTTCTTTTTTTAAGATTTATTTTTCGTATTTCACTATGACTAATGTAGTACAGTGTTACCATAGTAACATTGTACTACTTTGGGGAAGTGATCAATATTTTATTTTTTTTTTACACAATTTGCTTATAGCAAAGAATTACTTTGCTATAAGCAAATATTTACCTGAATGACATCGATTCATTCAGGGTTTTTTTTTTTGTGCTTAGCTGTGATTTGGCCACAGCTAATCACATGACATGTGCATGTGATTAGCTGTGACCATTCACAGCTAGACACTAGTATACAATGGATGGCATGAATGAAGCCATCCATTGTATACAACTGTCATGTGACCTGCTGTGATTGGTCACAGCAGGTCACATGGTACCGGCAACCGGGAGCCGGTACTCAGATCTGTCATCGGCCGTGTCCGAGGTACACGGCCGGTGACAGATTGCGCCGCTGCGCGGCTCTTCAAGCGCGCAAACTGCACATGTGCGGGAGGACGCCATATGGCGGCCTCCCGAAAAGCTAGTACATTTTTCCGGACGCCATTCGGCCATAGGCCAGGCGTCAAATGGTTAAAAGGAGAAGTACAGCCAAAGCTCTTTTGGCTGTACTTCTCCTGTGGATCACAAGAGTTCAGTTCGTTCTGCACTCCTGTGACCCGGTTTCAGCTGACAGCGGGCTGACATCACTCAGCTGTTCCAGGCTGGGGAAAGATCCCAACTTTAAAGTCAGGATCCACCCAGATGTCTGGACTGGCACCTGGCTCAGCCTCTCAGCAAGCCGCTGAGAGCCTGAGCCAGCCATTCCCTCCCCCTTCATAGCTCAGTGCACCAGTGACTGCTGGGGGGGGGGGAGCAGAGCAGAAAGTCTTATGCCCCGTACACACGAGAATATGGACGAACGATCAGCCATTTTTTTTCGTCTGCTAGTCTCACATCGAAAGTGAAGAGGTTACTAAAGAAACAAAAATTCTCCTATGAAAGAAAGGAATTTCGAAAGTGATGTCATGTATTGCGTTGTATTTGTATTGTATTTTCAGACGACTACTTTACCAATTAAACGAAAATCATACAATCGGGTATCGTACGAGAAAGATTTTTGCGCTTGTCTCTTCGGATATTGTCGTACGAATTGTCGTGATCGGCTCTCAAAAGCTGTGTACTAACGATCCGATTATCGGACGATCGATCCTCGTACGAAAATTTTCGTACAATTTTCTTATAGTGTGTACGAGGCAATAGACTGACAGTCTAGGCCAGCCTTTCTCAACCTTCCTTTTCAACACAGAGGAACCCTTGAAATTACTTTTTTGTCTTGGGGAACCCCTACTAAAAATTACTGTATCTACAGCCCGTGATACATTGGTGTGATGGTCAGTGGGAAGAATGTTTCTTACACTTGTGGTCATTGAGAAGAATTACCCCCTTATAGATAGCTAAAAATATCAATGGTGTCAGCGGGAACCTATCTAAGAGGCAGATATTGCTCGTTGCTCAAGGAACCCCCTAGAAACCTCTGGATGAACCCCAGGGTTCCATGGAACCTTGGTTGGGAAACCCTGGTCTAGGCTGTCTGCTCAGAGCAGCAGGGAGAACTGAGAGATGAGCATTTGTCTGATCACTCAGTTCTCACCCTAAGGCTGCATTCACACTTGAGTGTTTTTGTAGTTTGAAGCTCGAAGTTCCAAAAAAGTTCAAACTCAAAAAATCAATTGTTCTCTATGGCTCCTGTTCACACCTGATCCAGGGAACATGCACCATAGAGAACAATTGATTTTTTAAGCTTGAGCGTTTTTGGGAGCTTCAAGCTACAAAACACTCAAGTGTGAATGCAGCCTTATGGCCCAAACACACAGTAAGAAAATCATACAAAACTTTTCGTACAAAGACTGATCGTCCGATAATCTGATCATTAGTACACAGCTTTCGAGAGCCGATCACGACAATTCATGTGACAATAGGGACAGACGTGAAAATGCCCAGTGCTCCAGTGACTGCTGGGGGGGGGGGGGGGCAGAGCAGAAAGTCAAAGACTGACAGTCTAGGCTGTCTGCTCAGAGCGGCAGGGAGAACTGAGCGATCAGCGTTGTCTGATTAGTCAGTTCTCACTCCTATGGCCCGTACGAGGACTGATCATCCGATAATCTGATCATTAGTACACAGCTGCCGAATGCGACGATTCATGTGACAATATCCGAAGGGACAAGCGTAAAAATGTTTCTCATACAATACCAGATTTTACGATTTTCCTTTAATCAGTACAGTAGTCATCTGAAAATACAATACACTTCACTTTCGAAATTTTCTTCTCTTTCGTACGAGAATTTTCATGAGTTTAGTACACTTTTCATTTTCAATAAGAAGACAAGCATGCAAAAAAAAAGATGATCATTCATCCAACATTCTTACCGTGTGCACAGGGCATTAGAATTGGCAGGGGACAGATGCAGCATCAGATCGAGGCTGCATCCACCTAGGTAAGTATGATTTAAAAAATATATATATACTCCCATACTTCTCTTTTAATTCACTTCCTGTACTAGGGTGACAACTGTACTGAGCAGTATTGTCACCGTAGGATATGAAGTGTTTTTAGGCTTTGTTAACCCCTCGCCTACAGGGCACTTATACCCCTTTCCTGCCCAGGCCAATTTCCAACTCTTCAGCGCTGTCACACTTTGAATGACAATTTCACGGTCATGCAACATTGTACCCATATGAAATTTTTATCATTTTTTTGTGACAGATACAGCTTTATTTTGGTGGTATTTAATCACCTCTGGGTTTTTTATTTTTTCTTAAACAAACCAAAAACCACTGAAAATTTTGAAAAAAAAATGTTTTTTTCTTAGTTTTTGTTATAAAATGTTGTAAATAAATGATTTTTCTCCTTCACTGATGTGCGCTAATGAGGCTGTACTGATGGGCACTGATAAGATGCACTGATAGGTGGCACTGATGGGCACTGATGAGGAGGCACTGGTAGGTGGCACTGATGGGCATTGACAGGCATCACTGATGGGCACTGAAAGGTAGCACTGATAGGTGGCACTGACTGGCACTGTTAGGTGGCACTGACTGGCACTGACGGGTGACACTGAAGGGCAGTTCAGATTGGCACTGATATGTGGCATTGATGTGCACTGGTAGGCACTGATATGTGGCATTGATGTGGCACTGTTCAGCACTGACAGCTGGCACTGATGGACACTGACAGGTGGCACTTCTGGGGCCACACTGATCATCAGGGCACACTGATCATCAGTGCCCTGATGATCAGTGTACATGTCCCCTCCGCGGAATGCCGATTACCGGCTCTCCTCTCCTCTCGAGCTGTCAGCATGACAGCTCGAGAGGAGAGAAATGCAGATAACCGGCATTTCACTGTTTACATGTGATCAGCAGTGATTGGACACAGCTGATCACATAACCGAGCCGACATCTTCGGCTCTTTCCGTGGATCGGTGATCCGCTGTGTCCGAGGGACACAGAGCACCACCGAATGCCACGCTGCGCGCTCCCTGAGTCACGCATGCGCGGTGAGAATGGAAGGACGTCAAAAGACGGCATATGAGAATGAGAGAACGACCTTGCGCCTGTCATTGGACTATATGGCGGGCGGGAGGCGGTTAAAGTGGAACTACACACTCCTAAACTTTAGGCTGCTTTCAGACTGATATGGTGCAGTTTGACCATACCACAGTAGCAGCTCAGTGTATCTGCGAGATCTATTAGGTCCTGCGGTTTTAGTGAGTTTTCTGAAAGCTCCCCAATACTCCTGCATGCTGCATCCTTGGTGCACTTTCAGAAGGATCTAATCAAACTATGGGAGAGCAGAACTAATCTGCCCCCAACCCATGGGTACACTGCGCTACAACCGGGGTGTGGCCAAACCATACCACATTAGTCTGAAAGCAGCCTTACAGCCAAGAAAGCTTCTATGCTGGCCATACACAGTCAGATAATCATTTGAAAAAGCGTTCGATACACTCGATCGTCTGACTTTGAAAAATTAGTGGGTTAATTTCCATTAATGAAATGCAAAGTTTTATGGCAAAAAAATTAATTATCATGTTACATTTTTTGAGCCAAAACAATAGATTTTTTTTAAACATTAGTAGTGGAATTGATTGAAAACCATTTGAAAAAATCTACAGCGCATGTGTGTTAAAATGTAACCCTGGAAGAACAAGCAACAAAATGAAAGATCTTCTGGTCGCTTGGTTCTTGGTCTTCAGTGATTAGAGAGCAGTGACTGTCATTCACCAGCTCTCTGGTGTGCCCTTTCAGTGCTCATTGGAGCACCAGGCTGTGGGTGGGGTGGCTAGCTCAGGCTCTCAGGCTGAGCCAGCCGCTGTTCAGGCATCTGAGTGAATCCCAACATTAAAGTCAGGATCTCTACAGAGTCTGGACTGGCTGAGTGATGTTAGCCAACAGCGGACTTTAGCCCATTGTCAGCTTGTCAGCTGAACATGGATCAGAGGAGTGCAGAACAAAGTGCGCTCCTGTGATCCCCAGGAGGAGTATGGCCAAAAGAGCTTTGGCTCTACTTCTCCCGTACTAATTCTGTTGAGAGCTGACATAAGCATACCAGTAACTGTAACATTTCTCATTCACAACATGTCTTGAATGAAACTGGCTTGGGAAATCATTAAAGACAAAGAGGTCAATTCACTAAAGGTTACCGCATTCGATAACAGGGTCACGTGACTCATTTGCATAAATTATCGCGTGCGATAATAGAAGAGTCGATTCATCAATATCGAATGTGAGGTAAATGCCGCACATTTGTTAAAATAGTGAGATAAATACCGCAAAACATGAGATAAATCATTAAAGTCAAGTTTAAAAAAACACACAGATTCGTTATTTATCACCAGGTGTTTGCTGGCCGTATTTAGAAATGTACAAAATAACAATTAGAGGAACTCTGCACTGGCCAGAAAGTGTAAAGAATACAATGTATCAGTTTTCTCCTCTGAGCTCAGCAATGAAAATAAATTGTAACATTTCATCAGAGGGAGATCATTTTGCGAATGAAAGCACACTACAATGTTTTCATTTTCACAGTATTTCTGTGTGCCTTATGGTGCAATGTTAGCCTGCAAAAAAAAAAAAATTGTGAAAAAAACAGCCAAAAAGAATGCAAAAGTGCTAAGCATTACAAAAAAAATAAAAAATGTTTTATAGTGAATTGACTAGTTTTGAAGTAAATACTGCATGAGTTATTTTAACTAAAAAATTCATATGGTATTCATCCCTTAGTGAACTGACCCCAAAGTTCTTCTTTACCGAAAACTGCCTATGAAGATAAGGGACATCTGGAGATAAAAACATGCTGTGCAGTGTTGGCCAAAGTTGCATAATGCCCTTGCTAAAGGTATAGGCCCTTTACAAGCCTGACTGGAAGAGAAGCCCAGTGTTACTGCTCACCTTCACCATCACAGAAGTGAGCTCTTTCGCTAATTCTAACCTCCTCAAATGCACCTTCTCTCCCCTGATGCAGTAGCTCTGAGCTGAGTATTTGAGAGCTCACTCCTGTGATGGTGAGGTGAGCAGTGACACTAGGCTTCTCTTAGTTACATCCCTAGCAACGTATTCCATTCAGGCTTCATGAGGTATGTAAGCAGCCTACACCTATAGCAGGGCTATATTTATTTAACTTTTATCTACAGATGTCCCTTATCTGCATTGGAAGTTTTATGGTAAAGATGATCTAACCCTTTAAAGCGCAACAAAATGTAAAAGAAGAAAAAAAAATTGCAAACAGGCAGGCTTTTTTTTGCAGAATGCTCATTTGCAGTCGAGTGCACTTGCGTGCCTGTTCACAATCCTCTGTGGAATGTACATTGAGCTGTGCATGCGCAGCTCAGTTTACATTCTGTCACACTGCCAGTATACTGGGATGACTGAATTCCTATGCAGGCATTGAAACAGCTGGAGAACAACACCCAGAAGAAACCAGGGAGAAGATGTTGGCAATCTCAGTCTTCAGGGGACTGAGATTGAGCTCTGCAGTCATTTTTGCAGAAGTTGTTTTCTTATTCCAGGTCATAATTCTGCGCAATGTCCTTTTGTCTTTCTGTCAGTTGACCATGTAGACTGTGCTTATGTTTATCAGATGATGTTTTCCTGGAAACTATGCCATCATAACCTTTTGATACTGTACCTCGCGACACAGCAAATAAATTGGCAACTTCAGTCACACAGGCACCATCTAAGCGGGCACCAACAATTTTCCCTCTTTGAAGCTCAGTAAGCTCTGACATGACTCTGTATTATTAGCAGCACACCCAGTGAATGACGAAAGTGAGGCTTCCCACCTTTTAGCTTGGTGTCTCATCACACAGCAGAATCAAAAGAATGTTACATCACTTCTGCTTTGAACACAAAACATATCTTCACTTTCAAACCTGCAAATCATGTAGTGTTTCCATTTTTTTGGCTAACTCCTGTACTGGGGACATTGATGAATAAACTAAGAAAATTTACAGGATGTGAGGGTTTAGTTATACTTTAACCATTAGCCACCCGGCCTATAGACGTTTGGCGGCCGCAAAAATGCTGCAGATTTCCGGGGTATATGCCATTTGGCGTCCTCCCGCACATGCGCAGTTTGCGCGGTTCCAGAGCTGCGCAGTGGCACGATCTGTCACCGGCCGTGTACCTCGAACATGGCCGATGACAGATCTGAGTACCGCCCCCCGTTGCCGGTACCATGTGACCCGCTGTGACCAATCACAGCGGGTCACATGACAGTTGTATACAATGGATGGCTTCATTCATGCCATCCATTGTATACTAGTGCCTAGCTGTGAATGGCCACAGCAGGTCACATGCACATGTCATGTGATTAGCTGTGGCCAAATCACAGCTAAGCACAAAAAACAAAAAACAAAAACCTGAATGAATCGATGTCATTCAGGTAAATGCTTGCTTATAGCAAAGTAATTCTTTGCTATAAGCAAATTGTGTAAAAAAAAAAAAAAAATACTGATCACTTCCCCAAAGTAGTACAATGTTACTATGGTAACATTGTACTACTTTGGTCATAGTAAAATATGAAAAAAAATCTTAAAAAAAATAAAAAAAATGTAATAAATAATTAAAAATAATAAAAAAATTATTAATAATAATAAAATATAATAATAATTTATTTATTATTATAATTTATTAAATAATAATAATAATAATAATAATTATTAATAATAATAAAATAGTGAAAATAATTTTTTAAATTTTTTCATTTTCCGAAAAATTATGACAAAAAAAATACAACTCGCCATTCCTCTTATGAAGTACGCCGGACTGTCTACTCTGCAAAAAGGGGTCATTTGGGGGATATCTGTACTGTTCTGACTTTCTTGGACCTCAAGAAATTAGATTGGCCGTCAGTACTTCAGGATTGATCAATTTTCAGATCTATACCATAGTTTGTGAACTCTATAACTTTCCTACAAACTAAATAAAACATCCTAATTTGGGTTATTTTCACCAAAGACATGTAGCAGAATACAACTCGGCCTAAATTTATGAACAACAATTATTTATTTGTAAACTTTTATAACAGAAACAAAGAAAAACGTGTTTTTTTTTCAAAAGTTTTGGTATTTTTTTTGTTAATTTAGCATAAATAGCATTTAGTTTGGGTACAATGTTGTATGACCGCGCAATTGTCATTCAAAGTGTGAGAGCGCTGAAACCTGAAAACTGATCTGGGCAGGAAGGTGTAAAAGTGCCCGGTATTGAAATGGTTAAGATGGATCCTAACATAAAGAACTTGGTCTGTAGTAATTATAAAACTAAATTATTGTAAAAAATGATTGCAGTTTTACTACCCCTTGCCAACTGCCCACTTAAAAGATAACATTCATGCAGTCAGAGTTGCAGTGGCAGATTTAAAAGTATGGGATTTAAAAATAAAACCAAAAAAAACTTGCATACTCACCTAGGTGGATGCATCATCGGGCCGATGCTGCAATTGTCACATGTCACTTCTAAGACCGAGAACTGAGCAGTTTGCCGATGACTGTCAATATCCAGCTCTCTGCTTTGCCTCTCCAGTGCTCACTGGCTCAGGCTCTCAGCTGCCGGTTAGGAATCTGGATGGATCCCAACATTAAAGCCAGGATCCCTTCAGAGCCTGGACCAGCTGAGTGACATCAGCTGAGTTCAGGTCACAGGAGTGCAGTACTAAGTGCACTCCTGTGACCCATAAGAGAAGTAGGGCCAAAAGAGCTTTGGCCCTACTTCTCCTTTTACTCGGTTTGTTGATTGGCGAGCTTCA